AAGGAGGATTTTATTTAGGGACGATTTTAAGTATAATTTTAATTGGAACACAGCTTCGAATATTTGGTTTTAATTTGGTTTTAGAGGGGTTTTTTATTTTTATTGATATGTGTATCTGTTTTAATATGCTGTGCACCGCCCTGAGTCCTGCGGGAGAAGGGCGGTATAGAAATTAAATTAATAATAATAATAATAATAACTCAGTTCCATTTAGGAAGACCATAATCTCTGTATCAGCAACAATGATTATGTTTTCAAATGGCCTCTTGTCCATCATCAAGTCAGATTCACGATTTGTTTTACTTCTTTATCATGCCATGTTTCATTAAAAACCAAGAAGCATAATTGGGACTATTCAACAAGAGAGGGCGAAAGAAGAAAGAGATTTTAGACATCAAAGACGATGTCAGAACTTCAAAACACGATAAAATAACCCCCAGAAGATGTCAAGAAACAATTAAGTTGCATCAGCCTCTTCAGGGAGACAATGTATTCTGAACAGAGAACAATACTGTGTACTCATCACAATGGAACTACAGGTTGTCATCAACTTAAACCATTCATTTAGTGATCAAAGTAATGGCACTGAAAAAAGTGATTTATGACCATTTTTCACACTTAGGACCACTGCAACATCCCCATGGTGATCTGACCAAAATTCGGATGCTTGGCAACTGACTCATATTTATGGCAGTTGTAGTGCGCTGGGGTCATGTGGTCACCTTTTGTAAACTTCTGATAAGCAAAGTCAATGGAGAAGCCAGATCCATTTAACAACTGTGTTATCAACTTTACTTAACAACTGTGGCAAGAAAGGTTGTAAAATTGGGCAAAACCCACTTAACCACTGTCTTGCTTAGCACTGGGAATTTTGGGTTCAATTGTGGTTGTAAGTTGAGGACTTCCTGTATTGAAATTCTTTACTATCTATACCACCATTATCCTATTTATCATTACAAAACTGACATGAGGTGCATTCTCCTAATCTGATCCAATTATCATCTGGGCAGGGAAACTATAAAATCTGGAAAATTTCAATAGGACATCTCAGAGTATTTCAAGAAGCGTTGCTAAATTCCTTACCTGGCTGCTATGCTTCCTGGCTGTACTTCTTTCACAAAGATACCAACTTCCTCAAAGCTTTGGTTTTTAAGAGCAATCACACTAAATCCAAGGCCCCCATTAAATGGTTTCTCTATATCTATATACTCAATTTGCCTGCCCTGTGAAGGAGATAAATAATGTTATAAAATACAATATTTTTACAATTGCAAATTATTATTTTCTATTGATAAAATTTGACTAAGATTTGTACTACAACACATGTGAAAATCTCCCAAACCTGCAGAACCTAAAAAGTATAGTCCCACATTCTTCCTGGTCAAAACATCAATCATTTATTTACATTTATTTATATTTCATATTTCTAAATCCAACATCTCCCTCAAAGAGGTGCTCTGGAATGTGTTCAATAAAATATAACTGTTAAATAAAACAACGTATATAAAGAAACATTATAAATTAAAAATTAGGGTTAAAAATTCAAAATTTTAAAATAAGGACAATTAAACATCAAAAGGGGAGGGAAATCCTAAAATGGCCATTAAGCATTGAATTATTACATGCCGGGCTCTCAAGGAATTATCAGCCCCATGGTCGTGAGATCCTCTGTGCCCCCCATAGAAAACTGCAGAGCCAACATTTGACCCACTTACAAAAGGTCAAGCATTTGGGGGTTTTCTTCACCTTTGAGGGCAAGATGTTCCCCAAAGTGGGGGCAGTGGCAGAGAAGCCTCTCTTCCTAGACTATCCCACATCTATTCCATTTGTTATAAAGCCATTTTAAAATATGTGTATGTATGTCCTCACTTAGTGATGGTAATTGGGACAGGAATTTCCATTGCTAAGCAATGCAGTCATAAAGTGTAACATTATGGGACTGCATCACTTAGCAATGTCAATCTCTTGTTTCAAATTGGAGTTACAATTGACATACAGTGTAAGTAACCTTAATCAGTATGCTATCTTTGGTAAGAGCATTCAGCTTGGTGGCACCTTATACTTGCAAGGGGCCTTAAGCTGTGCATATATGCTAAGGAGGCAAGGCGACTATGTTCAAAAAAATTAATTCAGAAATTGACTTTAATAACCATACGGTTTGGAATAAAAAGGAAGCTTTTATATAATATACCACTGCATTTTTACCTTTGCCATTTTTTGGATTATCAAATTAAATTCGTCCATTTCAAATCTGGAAATTAGTGGAGCCATTTGCTTATCATTCTGGATGTTTCCATTAACAACAGGATGTGGGTCAGCATCAAATACCAGCAACCCTCGCCTAGTAAAATCAAAATCCACTGAACGATCTGGAGGCATATACCTAAGCTGTGAAGAACAAGACAAGACATTACCAGAAATTCTAAATACTTAATAATTAATACAAAATAATAGCATTCGTGAGCATACAGTACTGCTTAAGTAAGATGGAAGTTCAGTTTGAAAAAACAACTTTCCTTTCTGGAATATTATTGAATCAATGAGCAACTGAACATGTCAATATTCACCTTATTAGTAACCTCAAGAGTATGAAACCCCCCAAAAGAGAATCCTTTTGCAACTAAAAGCAAGGTAGAAAAAAATAATTATCCTGAATTGTTAACATAAGCTGACACTTATAGTTTAGGATTGATTCATTCTTATTATTATTTCATGTTCTTTTTTTTTCTTACATAAAAGAACTTTTAAACTCCAGAAAGAATAAACTTCTCAGGATTGGGTTATTTGTTTGTTTTTTGGAATTATATAATCCAGCCAATCCAATTGTGAAAAAGTAACAGATAATACAGGTAGTCCTTGACTTACGTCCACAACTGAGCCCAAAATTTCTGTTGCTAAGCAAGATATTTCTTAAATGCGTTTTGCCCCATTTTACAGAAGGTCATAAAAGGTGATCATATTATCTTGGGACACTGCAACCATCATAAATACGAGTCAGTTGCCAAGCGTCTGAATTCTGATCACATGACCATGGGGATGCTGCAACTGTCACAAGTATGAAAAACGGTCGTGTCACTTTTTTCAGTGACATTGTAACTTTGAACGGTCATTAAATGAACTCTTGTAAGTCGAGGACTACTTGTAATGAGATGGATCTTATATACAAGGCCAATTCGGAAATAAACCTCCGTTTGGTTATCAATGACAGACACTCGCAGATACAGAACTTTTATTATACACATTAGAAAACTACAACATTACATTACTTTGTGACATGATCGCCATTCAAATTGAGGCACTTGTCGTAACGTCTTACAAGGTTTGAAATTCCTTAGTAGTCGCTTGGCGCCAAATCTGGGCTATGGGGTGTGTGCGGGTGAGCATTATCGTGAACCAACACCACACCGAAAGTCAGCATACCCCGATGCTTGTTATGGATGGCTCATCTGAGTTTTTGTAACGTTTCACAATAGACTTCTGAATTAATGGTCGAACCACGCTCCATGAACTTCACTAGCAGTACTCCTTTGGCATCTTCACATTTGGCGGGATTTTCTATGGCACCACTTCTGGCATGGTGTTGGTTCACAATAATGCCCGTCCGCACACCTCTAGATGCACCTAAGAACTTTTGAAGCAGTTCTGTTGGGTTGTTTTTGATCACACACCCCCCATAGCCCAGATTTGGCGCTGAGTGACTACTACTAAGGAATTTCAAACCTTGTAAGGTGTTATGACAAGTGCCTTAATTTGAATTGTGATTATGTCAAAAAGTAATGTAATGTTGTAATTTTCTAATGGGTATAATAAAAGTTCTGTATCTGCGAGTGTCTGTAATTTCTGAATTACCCTTGTATTTTCTCAGAAGGACAAAACTGATCACAGTGATTTGCATATTCATTTTCAAAGACAGAAAAAAATCACAACAATCCAGAAAACCTCTTTTAATGTTTAAGAACAAATCATCAGTGCCTCTTCATTCTGCTCCTGTCCATACATCACACATTTTGGAACCAGAGGCCTTTGGATTAGAAGCTGGGAGACCATAAACTCTAATCCTGCCTTAAGCACAGAAACCACTTAGATGCCTTTGGGTGACTTTCTCTCAGCCATAGGAAGATGGCAATAAACAAGCCACTTCTGAATGTTGTCAACAAAACTGCATGGACTCATCTATATGGTCACCAAGAATCAAGACTAACTCAAAGGTTTAAAAAAGAGGTAGAGCTAACAGAATATCTGAAACATCATGTATACTTTTGGTAGCATTTCTTTTCTAGATTTTATATCAGAGACATTTCTGGCTCCAAGATTTAGGCACTTTGATTTGAAAACTGACAAGAAAAATGGCACTATAATGATTTATAAGTTTATAAGTGCATCAGGGGTTAATGATACTGTAAAAGGAACTAAACTGTAATCATATATGTTTTAATAACATGTTACTCCCTAAAGCTTTCTTACCAGATTGGAATATAAGCCCATATAAATAAAAAGCATCTTGTAATTCTAAATCAAATAAAATACAGCTTAAACACATTTTGGCATAGGAGTTTCCACAGAAGTCACAAAACCAGACTCTTGTTGTAGACAGTTGAGACAAGAATACAGTTTTTATGATAGTTATTAACTAAAGTGATGTAATGCTTTAGGGAATATCAGGTGAAGACTGGAGATGATCCAGATAAATATATCTTCAAAATTACACTGGCAGCTGCTATGGATAATACTGTAACATTTTATATATAATAGGAGACTATTCTGGAAAAGATAATCAAACAACGAATCAGCAAACACCTAGAGGCAAACAAAGTCATTACTAACAGCCAACATGGGTTTGTCAAAAACAGATCATGCCAGACAAATCTTATTGCATTCTTTGACCAAGTGACAAAATTAGTGGACCAGAGGAATGCTGTGGATATAATTTACTTGGACTTCAGTAAGGCATTTGATAAAGTAGATCACAACCTACTACTTGTTAAGATAGAAAAATGTGGGTTAGACAGCATTACCACCAGATGGATTCGTAGCTGGCTGACCGGCCCCACTCAGAGTGTGGTCCTCAATGGAACTGCATCTACATGGAGGGGAGTGTGTAGTGGGGTGCCCCAGGGCTCTGTTCTACGCCCAGTGCTCTTCAACATCTTCATCAATGATTTGGACGAGGGGATAGATGGGGAACTCATCAAATTTGCAGACAACACCAAGCTGGCAGGAATAGCTAACACTCCAGAAGATAGGCTTAAGATACAGGAGGATCTGAACAGACTTGAACATTGGGCGCTATCTAACAAAATGAAATTCAATGGTGAAAAGAATAAGGTTCTACATTTAGGCAAGAAAAAACAGGTATAGTATAGGTGGTTCCTTGCTCAAGAGTAGTAACTCTGAGAGGGACCTCGGAGTCCTAGTGGACAATCACTTATATATGAGCCAGCAGTGTGCTGCAGCTACCAAAAAAGCCAACACAGTGCTAGGCTGCATTAACAGAGGGATAGAATCAAGATCACGTGAAGTATTAATACCACTTTACAATGCCTTGGTAAGGCCACACTTGGAATACTGCATCCAGTTTTGGTCACCATGATGTAAAATAGATGTTGACACTCTAGAAAGAGTATAGAGAAGAGCAACAAAGATGATTAGGGGACTGGAGGCTAAAACATATAAGGAACGGTTGCTGGAATTGGGAACAACCTGCCTCCAAAAGTTGTGAATGCTCCAACACTGGAAGTTTTTAAGAAGAGACTGGACAGCCATTTGTCTGTAATGGTATAGGGTTTCCTGCCTGAGCAGGGGGTTGGACTAGATGACCTCCAAGGTCTCTTCCAACTTTATTATTATTATTATTATTATTATTATTATTATTATTATTATTATTATTATTATTATTACAATAATAATTGTCTCACAATTGCTATTAAAATGTCCATTGCACACCCAATGGTGATCAGGTTTCATAGTTCCAAGTTTTATTAACACTAATTGCCAATGTGACCAGGAGGCTGTTACTCTTCTCCTGGCTGATTATTTTTCATAAACCTCTAATAAGATTGCAAAATTCTTATCAATAACTGCAGCTGTTAAAAGCTTTCTGGTTCCTCCTTTATGCTATTAACTATTACCTCCTTATTGCATTAGAATTTTCTTGTAATTTACATTTTTTCTTTTATAATTATTGTATTACATGCTGATTTTTCATTATTTTTGGTCTTGGGCCATTTATACATTTTTTTATTTGATTTGTGGCTTATCTTAAACCAAGCCTTATCTTAAACCAAGCCTTATTCCACAGCAATGTTTATATCAATGTGATTGAGGAGGCAAATCATGTAAATGCTCTGAGATCCTTCTGAGAAAATCAGGATATAAATATGACAAATAAACCCTGATCTAATTCTTAGTGCTTTTTTAAATAATGTTCTTGATTATTTTTTTAACTGTCAAAAGTGTTTAGTTCTGCAATGCATTTTCACACAAAAGTAATATATAGGTAATCTTTGACTTATGACTACAATTGGGACCAAAATCTCAGTCACTGAGCAAAGCAGTTGTTAAGTGAGATAGTGTGACTGCTTCGTTCAATGACTGCAATCCCAGCAATCCCAGTTGTAGTCATTAAGCAATTTCCCAGATTCTTGAGTGGAACATGCATGGAAGGGAACTGCTCTGGTGGACTGTCTCAAAGGAGTTTGGATTTTCTGGATCTGAGTTCTATTTCTGCTCCCCTTGGTAGCTCCTCTTGGTAGGCCACACCATCAGCCAGGCCCCAGAGATGAGAGGGGGTCCTCTCAGCAAACAGGAGCAGTTTGCAATCTTCCTTGCTGGCTTCCCAATTGACTTTGGCAGTAAAGATTACAAATGTGATCCCATGATCATGGGGCACTTGGCAATCAGTTGTAAGTGGGAACAGGTTGCCAAGTACCCAGATCATAATCACGGAACTGAAGGGGGGGCACAACATTTTACGACAGCTGGAAGTGCTTTATGGGCTAAAAAACTTTCCAAACCTATCTTAACTTTGAACTAACCAGTCATAAGTTAAGGGCTATTTGTACAAATATCACTCTTCCCTGATCTGCCACATAAAATTTGTCACGAGCGGTATACTCTTCTAACAGATCATAACTATGCTGGATATGGAGTTTTAACAGACCAGAATAACAAGGTTGGAAGGGACCTTGGAGGTCTTCTAGTCCAACCCCTTGCTCAAGCAAGAGACTCTATACCATTCCAGATAAATGACTGTCAAAGCTCTTCTTAAAAACCTCCACTGATGGAGTACCCACAACTTCTAAAGGCAAGCCATTCCACTGATTGTTTGGGAGTTTGGGGAAGTTAAGGTCTATACGTTTCAAAGTTGCCAAGGATTATGTTTCAGTGGGGGTTTTTTGTATGGGTGTGTTTTTAGAACAGGCCTGTTATTTAATTCGATTTTAAAACAGAAACTATTTATTTATTATCGTGGTTTTTAGTATCGCCTGTTCACCGCCCTGAGTCCCGCAAGGGAGATAGGGCGGTATATAAATTTAATAAAATAAATAAATAAATAAATAAATAAAAAGCTTTTGGAAACTCAGAACCCTGCCCATTATTTGTATAACTTCAGCTAATTCAATCAAATGACTAAATAATGAATTACAGGAAGGAGAAAAGATGCAGTATACCCAGTGGTGGGATTCAGCCAGTTCGCACCAGTTCGGCAGAACTGGTAGCTAATTTTTTGTTGCCCAGGCCCAGAATGGACTTCCGGAAGCGGCATCCACACAGAGAACCGGTTGTTCACATATTTGAATCCCACCAGTGAATATAGGAATAGGAATAGAGTAGAGTAGAAAATTAATAATAATAGAATAGAATAGAATAGAATAGAATAGAATAGAATAGAATAGAATAGAATAGAATAGAAAATTTATTGGCCAAGTGTGATTGGACACATAAGGAATTTGTCCCTGGTACAAAGCTCTCAATGTACATACAAACAACAAAGTAATAAGTCATCTTGGTGTGAGTTCTTCCCACAAACATTACTACTACTTCAAAATTTTCTTGAAAACATAACCAATCAGCATCCATCAGATCTTTCTCTTGTATTACTTACTTGTTCTTTCAGCTGCTTTATTGACTGCTGAAGAGTCAGCATGTGGTTGAATAAAGGGTTCTTAAGAGTATTGCATAGAAAAACCAGATTATCACTCTGCGAGGTATCTCCTTTCTCATGAAGTTTCATTAGTAGACGCTCCAGAATCCTCAGGATCTGCTGCTTATCTGTTGGATTCCCCCCAAACATCATAACAATTCATTAAAAGAAACTACTTAAGATAATTGAAATGTTTCAACCATGTGACAAGCTGATTTCAGACACACTTACCTGCAATTGGATTTTCTGGCATCCTGGCTTATCTGCACTGTAGATTCAATATAGCCTACATTTTAGAATAAAGATGCAGATTAAGCTTTGGTTTTTAACATATCTTACTCCGAAGAACATAAATGGCAAGCACACATTTACACACACATACGTCTGTTTAGACATTACTGCCATACTAAAGGGTACAGAAAGAAGTGCATATTATATTTCTTTTTGTGCCCATTTAATGTGGCAATAATAACTCTAAACAAATATAGGAGATGGGTGTAAAAGTATCACTGTGGGTCTAGAGAACATTTCAATCTTAAATGAGCAACAGTTATTTAAATACATCTCGTCTTTGACTTACATTTAGTGACCAAAGTTACAACAGCACTAAAAAAAAGTGACTTATGGCCGTTTTTCACACTTACGGCCATTGCAACATCCCCATGATCCTGTGATCAAAATTTGGACACTTGGCAACTGGCATGTATGTACAGTAGTGGCCAAAATTGTGGAAATCTTTTGGGAAAAGTGTACAGTAGAAATGCCACCTTTGGTTAAGTTTCCACCAATTTTTCTTCTTTCTTTATAACTGTAGCCTTGTTCATTTAATAATATCATTTTACATCACTTTCTGGGCAACCAGTCAATAAAATTACTTTAATTTTATTACGTTTTACAAGCTCACTAAATGAAAGAACACAAAAAAATCCAACCAACTTGATAGCGATCACATAACACACTGACAAATGTCTCTCAGCTTCAATACATGACATCAATAACTGGATCCTACTGTGATCTGATTGGCTCATTGCCAAAACAAGATGACACCTGATTGGCTCTCTAAACACTCATGCTCATTGGCTACAATCAGATGAAGGAAAGCTACCTGATATCAACCTAAGCAAGTTGTGCTTCCTTTTTCTGGTTATTTGGCTATAACTTTTCATAGAATACAGTACAGATAATTGAAAAAAACTATGTTGCATTACATTCTTGATTAAATTATCTTTCCATTGATATATAATTTTATGGTACTACTCCAAAAAAAATGGTGTGATTAGCCATCAAACCTCAAAAACACACTTTTCCCAAAAGGTTTCCACAATTTTGGCCACTACTGTATGACGGCTGCAGTGTCCTGGGAGTCATGTGATCGCCTTTTGCGACCTTCTGACAAGCAAAGTCAATGGGGAGCCCGATTCACTTAACAACTGTGTTACTAACTTAACAACTGTAGTGATTCACTTAACAACTGTGGCAAGAAAGGTAGTAAAATGGGGGCAAAACTGCCTCACTTAGCAACCGAAAGTTTGGGGTCAATTGTGTTCATAAATTGAGGATTCCTTGCACTGTGTTGCCACACACAGAGATGGAATCTAGACCAGTACAAAAAGGTTCCCATCACGTTGTCCTGCTCTTATTTAACTTAATATTACTTTCATATCCATACTATTTTGTAATATGTATAAACTGTGCATTACTACCAATAGAATCATACCAAGATAAAGAGAAGCCATGCTAACAAAATTTGTATTTTATCCTTGGCTTCCCATGTTGAATGCAGAATTCTCTCTCGGCTACAGATATATCTGAATAAATCAGTTCAGGGCTATAATGGAGAATTTACATTGCACTGTATTCAGGAGCATTTTCTGTTTATATTTATGTTTATGTTTATATTAAGCCACCATGTTATGTTTACTTAGCATGATGGATGTAAGAACAAAATTGGGATTTGCATTCCATATTTTCCATCACTCTCGGCTAAAAATAAAACCTCCTAATTTAATAGAATTGTTTAGAATTGTAATTTTAAATTATTGTCATTTTCCAACTAGGAAGTCCTTGCTCTGTTGTATAGTGAAAACAAACCTATGTCATATATGCTTAAATATAAAGCCTCCTTAAGTCTACCTTAAATCTTAGTTATCTCATAGATACATCCATGTATCTTCTTCTAGATGTTCTTTCAACTTGCCAGTCTAGTTTACAATTCCAGTACTAACCCAAGCCCAACCCTCCTTACTTTTGGAGCATATGGAAGATTTTTTTTTTTTTTTAAAAAAAAGTCTCACCAAATGAAAATCCTTAGGCTGCAACTGTGCGCCAATTAAGAAGAAAATCCTGCAGACTTCAAATAGGATTGCTTTCGGATGGACATATAACATTGGCTGACATCATTGAGAACTAAGGAATAGAATCAGTCACATACAAGTTAAATAAGTCACACTGTGTTTATTTAATGGTATTTGCTGATGATTATTAGTATGCCTATTCAGAAACTGTACTGAGTTTACTCCCTGGATAGGTATGTGTTTTATTACATCACAGTCTCAAGTTTCTTCATTTGGACTGGGCCTTCTGTGTATTAATACATACGTATGCATGACAGGCTTTTAAAAATTTGACTGCACTTGCGAACTCACTGCGATTTCTCAGGCATACAGGGTTGCAAAAGTCTTCTCTCCAGCTCTGCTTTTGGGATTAGGTAAATTCATAGTTGCAAATTCAGCAACAAGAGAAACTGGAAATTCTAAGATATTATTATCCATCATCATCTAAGCCCTTTTCTGTTTTGAAGCATCCTTACACAACAGATACTACAATAAATAAACCTTCTTGGATAATAACATTCTACTTGTCCCAGTATGTCCAGATTTAAGTAGAACACTGAAAGAATCCCCTCTTTTTTTTTTTAAATAATATTGAAGTTTTGTTTTATTTGTGAGTTTCAGGTTGGGAGATAAAAAGGCACTCTGAAGCAAATCTATTTTAATATTGATTTCATAATGAAGTTACCTTGAATTAGTACTGTACTTAATTTCCAAAGTGAAAAAAAAGCTATTCTAAAAAGAATGTCTTTTCCATTCCTCTTTTCTTCCACATGTTCATTGCTATTCAGTGCATAAAAATTTACAGTTAGTGAACTAGGGTTACTCTTATAAAAATAATCATGGCTACATTTGACTAATGCCATCACATTTTCCAGGCAGCCCTATCTGGTCAAATTTCTCCTTGACATCTGCCCCATTAAAAACAGAGGAAATGGAGAAGGCAGCATCTCTCTTTGCAACAGTTTTTCCCTTGTTTGCTATGGGGCATTCCCAATTTTGCAGCCCTCCAAATGTGTACAAACTTCAGGTTCCAGAATTCAACGGCCAGCATAGCCTGCCTGCCTGCCTTCCTTCCTAGAATTTTGGAAATCGAATTGCACAACTCTGGGGTTCCTCAACACAGAGGAATACCAAACCTTGAGGTTCTCCTTCAATGACGGTGGGCTGTTTAGCCTAGAAACAGCTGATCAAGGATCAATACAGATCCCCAAAGAAGGAGCTCCCTCTTCTTACTTTCACTTTTGGGTTTATTGCCCGAATCCAGTTACCAGCAAGGAAAGGGCACCCAAGCCAGCCGGGATCCAAGCCCAGCCTCCAATCAAAGGTCAGCACTGTTGGATCGTTGGCAGCTCAGACCCTGCACAACCACAACACTAACTAACTGCTTGCTGTTAACGTTTACGGCCAAGCTGAAAATATCCCGTCACGCCTGTACTTTGCCCTGAGCCTTACCGGCTTTAAGCTGTTCGCTCAGGCTTCAGCCCGGACGCCTTTCAAAATAAGCGGCCCCTTTACCCAGATCAGGAGACGGGCAAAGTCACACGAGGAAATCCAGTCGGATTTCCAGCATCTATAAGGGGCAACCCGGGACGGATCTAAGCAGATCTAGCTCTGAATGCCTCCAAAGAAAAACCTACCGCGAGGGAGGGAGGGACGCCCCACCATGAAGGCTCAGCAAACCCGCCCACCCGAAGCGCAACAAGTTCTCCCCAAGTCTTTTCCATTACGCTTTCAGCCTTCAGGAAGTGGGCGGCGGGCGCAACGCAAAAGCCCGACTGGCTGCATCTTCCAGCCACTGGCCGCCGCTTCCCCTCCCCGCCACAGGGTCGACTGTGGCTGCTCGGAGCCGAGAAGGCGGCCGGGAGCGCGCCCGGATCGTCAGAACGGCTTACCTGCTCGGCTGGGGGCGAGACCTGTCGCTGGGCGATCCTGGCTTGTTCTTACCTGGGCGGAAGCGGGAGTTTCGTTTTACCCGCACCTCTCCTTGCAACACAGGAAGCCGGCAGCGAGGGGGAGCCGCTGGGCGCTGAAGGAAAACAAGCCAGGCTCCGGCGGGATCAGGGTGGACCAGGCGAGAGATCAGCTGCCGTGGGGCAAGAAGCGGGGGGTCGCTGAGGTCGCGGAGTGATCTCCGGGATGCTGGTGGGCTTAGTTTCGGGGCAAAAGGCTCGGATCCTTCCTAAGGATCCGGAGAAGGGCAGATTCAAGGAACAAGTGAAATAACGAGCGGGGAGGGGAATTGGCCATCATTGCAGGAGGGGCTGGGTGACAATGGGGTTGGGTCGTGGGAACGTTGGCGTCGGGGACAATCAAAGGAGGCAGACTCCGGCTGCGTGGATTTTCGTTAGTTGTAAATGGGGAAGAGGTTGATAAGCAAACCCCTTATGGGCCGAGGAGCCTTGTTTGTGAAACCAGCAGCAAGTCAAGCTCAAACCCAATATTCAGACATCACAAGACAGCAGCTGTTTTGCTGCATACACTTGATTTTGAATTTATAGGTAATGGAATTACATAGAAACAGGAAGGGATGCATCTCTTTTAAGAGAAGAAATGGCCTTTGGGTGACCTTAGATAGCTGTGAGAAAATAGCTTTTTCCTTTCCAAAAAGAACATCAACAAAAATTAAGTTAGCTTTTTCCTTTCCAAAAAGAACATCAACAAAAATTAAGTTTTTTGTTTTGTTTTTAAATGAAGGCGGTATAGATAATACATAAATGACGATCGGGATTTTTTCTTTCTTTTCCTATTAAATTTTTCTCTCTACTTATATTGTACCCACTATATATTGTACCCACTATAAAAGCTATCACTTACGTGCGAATCATACAAATGAAATTGCTACACAATGTTTGTGAAAAGCTATTCTTATAGAACTTTGTGGGTTTTTGTGTTAAGGCTGATTTCATGTCCAGAAAGACTTGTTGCAAAATATGAAGGCAACAAGGGACAAACCTATCTTACTGGTCAAAGATAAACTCTTAACAACCCCTATTATGTTTAAAATAATTTGATCTGGGACTAAGCATTATGTCAACACATTTCTTTGGCATCCAAGAGTTTCTGGATTCATTTAGTTTCTGGATCCCTTCAGTGCTAGGATACCTGCCAAGAACTAAAGATCAACTGCAGAGGTTGTTCCCTAGATGCCCCACCAAATGAGATTTAGCTTGTCAGGTTTAGGTTAGTCTTAGTATCTCAGTTTACAAATGACCATAGCAAAAGAGTTTATGGATTTCTTGGTGCTAAGTGATAGAATCACGTACATATCACTTCGTTGTGTGATTGGTTGACTTCACCTCAGACTGTAATCTTTTGAAGGCTTTCAGAAATGTTTGAGTCCAACATTTCTGTTACTAAGGGAGACATTTGCTAAGTGGGGTTTGCCCCATTTTATAACCTTTCTTGCCACAGTTAAGTGAATCACTGCAATTGTTAAGACAGTAAGTAATACAGTTGTTAAGTGAATCTGGCTTCCCCTTTGATTTTACTTTTCAGAAGGTCACAAAAGGGGATCACATGACCCCGGGACACTGCATCCATCATAAATATGAGTCAGTTGCCAAATGTTTGAATTTTGATCACGTGACCACGGGGATGCTGCAACGGTTGTAAGTGTGAAAAACGGTCATAAGTCACTTTTTTCAGTGCTGTTGTAACTTTGAATGGTCACTAAATGAACTGTTGTTAAGTCAAAGACTACCTATATTTGCTGTGGTGGCTACTTTCTCATTGTTAACTGTTGTAAAGCCATCTTGTGTCCACATTCCATCAGATTTCATCTCTACACGACACAAATTGTATATATTCTACTTACAAATCAGACTGGAGATTACTCCATATCTCCTCTTTTTATGCTAGAGCAGGAGTAGGCAACGTTGGCTCTTTTATGACTCGTGGATTTCAACTCCCAGAATTCCTGAGCCAGCCATGCTGGCTCAAGAATTCTGGGAGTTGAAGTCCACGAGTCATAAAAGCCAAGGTTGCCTACCCCTGTGCTAGAGGAATGTTTCAACAGACAGAAGTTGCTGGCCAAATCTCTTCTTGACCTCAGGTTTAATTTGGAATATGTAGGAATAATGTTTTTTTCAGGTAACAAATTGACCCATATTCCAAAGGATCATCAATTCTCAACAGGAAAAGGTTAGCTAGTAATACAACAGAAGATTATTTTCTTTAACTTTATCTTCATGTGTTGAAAGTGTGATATTTGGTATCAGTTATTAATTGTTTCTATACCATCACAAGCATTGTGTGTTTTGTTAACTTGAACCTTCAATATAGTACAGCAGAGCTATACGTAAGAAAGAGCAGATCATCATTTTGTGGTGTGCCAGAGATTCTAATTTCTATTTTTGTGTCCACAGTTCTTTCCAGATATCCCAAAGGTGCTTTTTCAAAAGGCAACTAGGCTTTCTTTGTTTTTTTTTCCTTGAAGACGTTTTACTTCTCATCCGAGAAGCTTCTTCAGTTTCAGCTTCAGAATCGAAGAAGCTTCTTGGGTGAGAAGCGAAATGTCTTCAAGGAAAAACCAAGAAAGTCCAGTTCCCTTTGGAAAAAGCACCTTTGAGACAACTGTGACCTGGATACTGAGAATCTCCACAGTCATTGTTTTAAGACGATATCTGATCTGAACAACTATATATAGTTTTATCTCTTTTGACACAAATGTTTTGTGACTAGATAAAAATACAAAAAAAAATAATATAAAATAAAAAAATTACGTTTTTCTCCCCCCCCCCGTATTAAAGTGTGATTTTTATCTATCTCTTATGAAATGTGTCTACCCACAGAGGTGATAAGAAGGAGCTGATTCTGTTAGCCAAATGCTTCAGTGCTATAAGGTTGGACAATAGCAGTATATAAGTTATTTTCTTTTTTTTTCTTTTAATGTGCTAGAAAATAACACAGATTGTGGGAGACCTAGTTCCCTGGCTCATCAAGTGAGGCGCATCCTGGAAAATAGACAGTATCAGTAGTCCTGGATTAACAACCATTCATTCAGTGACTTGAACTTGCAACAGCACTGAACCAGTGGTACTAATGACTGGTTCTTGAAGTGCTGGCTGTTGCAGTGCCCCTGCGTTACGTGATTGCGATTTGGGCACTCAGCCAGGTTTTCAACCATTGCAGCATCCTATGGTCACATAATTGGGATTGCAATGTTCCCTTCAGCCTTCTCACAAGCAAAGTCATGGGAAAGCCAGTAAGAAAAATCAAGCCATGGTCCCATGAGGTCCTTGCTTAACAACTTCTGGAACAGTTGTTGCAAAATGGTGCATTCAAGTGACATTGCTCTCTTTGACGGCATTACTTAGCAATGGAAATTCTGTTTCCAAATCCAGTCATTAAGCAAGGACTATCAATAGTTGCAATAACTACCGAACTACTGTGTCAAAAGATAATGGAGGACGTAGACTGCGTAGACCCAGAAGATTACTGGGAGAAGAGACCTCCATTCATTTACCTACAAGCTCAATCCTGCCATTGCAATCATAGAGAATCTCTTTTATTTAGAGTATTTCCTCAGCTGCTCTTTTTGTTTTTGTTTCATGTCATTGTATTGTTTTGAAATGCCGTGAACCATTTAGAATTGTTATGAGATGGGATGCTGTGTAAATGGAAGAAAATAAATAATCTGTTGCTTTTTATTTTTCTACCACTTTATCTCTTATTTTAAAAACCCAGATCCTTTGGGGTTTGGGTTGTATATAAACATTATTAATAAATAACAGAGACATTAGGAAGCAAAGCAGCTTCATAGCTTTTGAAAATCAAGAATTTTTGTGGATCAAGCTATTAAAGATATGCAAACCAAGTGAATCAATCTGTTCAAAATTTCTTTTTGAGATCACGTAATTGTCATTTTCTTTACATGATGAAGTTTCAATAAATGAGAATATTGATTGTTACTGAAACTACGGGCTCGGCTTAATGGCAACAGGATGTGGAGAATTACACGAAGCTTCTGTTCAGACAGTAATGCAGTGGGTGGGTTTATAGATCAAGCTAAGAAAAAATCAAATCACATTTTGGTTTAATATTGTATGGGTTAGGTATCTTTGCTATAGAATATGTTGTCAGATAATAGATGGAACCGTATGGAAATGAGCTTTATGTTCACCCACAATGCCATAAAAGCTTTCCTGGAAAAGACGAAATGACAGTAACAAACATCATAACAATGGCCTGGTCACCCAATTCTCCCAAACGCACGTGCGACGTGGGACGTTTGAACTTACCCAAAGACTGACTGAATCGCTATCGGGTAATAATAAAGTAGATCTTTGTCATGAATAGACCCAGGTGATGTTTATATTTCTATCCATTGTTATTATACTGATGTTTTTAATTTTCTGGTTCTCAGGGTTGCTTTGGTGAGTTGGGCAGCTTTACACCTTGAATAAAACCAATCAAAGAGTGATCTTACTTATCTGCTTGCTGGAATAACCCCCAGTAGTCATTTAAAAAAAAAGAAAATCTCCAAACTCAGAGCCCAATTAAAAAAAGAACGAGGTGCTGGGGTGACCCAATCTCTGAAATTATAGTAAATTAAATGGATGTTAAACAAGGTTGTATTCTTGTTCCTCCATTATCCTGTTTTCATTTGAACTGTTCTGTGTACAGGCTTTATCAAGCAGCAACCTTCCTTGCCAAGTAGTAACACAGAGACCCACCTTGTACTGTTACACACAAAGGCTGCTATTCTTTCTGAGTCTCAGGCAGACCTTGAGAAAACCCACCTAGCATTAGCCAGTTTCTGCCACCAAGAAAAAACTTGTAATTAACTCTATAAAAACAAAGATGGTCCTATTTACCAAAGCATGCTGCAGTTGCCAATATAAATGCCGCGTCGACAGCATCCAAATAGAACAAATTAAGATCTTTAAATATTCATTCTCTAAATGATAACAAATTCACAAGGTTTTATCCAATGCACAAATACTATAATTAACTGTAAGCCATAAAGGTAACAATTTTGTCTCAGTAGCAGTTAAATTGTTTAGAACTAGGATGTCAACTCTGCTTTATGGTATACAAGCCTATCCTTACAAAGACTTAAAGGCTTTAAATTCAGCCTAGCTAAATGTGTGAGAATTATTCTCCATCCCCCTTGATTTATCCATCATGCTCATAATAAGATTTCAACTAGGATCTATTTTTATAGTGGCTTATATAAGAATATGTTATCTAACAGCTAAAACTACACTTGAAGAGTGATTCAGTGCTTAATTCATTCTTATAAATTTTAGACAACCATTGCTAATGACTGGTCTGTCGTTAGCCTCTCAACTCAAAGGCTACAAATAAAGAAAACTATATCTTGAATTAAATAAGGTGTTCCCAGTCTTGATCTATACCCTGAAAGATCTAAGACTCCAAATTCTGTGTCAGGGAATAATCTCTTTGCTATTGCAAACTACTTTTTTTTTTCAGTGAAAAAGCTGGTGGAAGGATCACTTGAAAAGTTTCTGCCCAGATTACTACTACAGTTGCTCAGATATATCCATAAAATTATAACACAGATCCTGTTGCATTGCCCAGTCTGCCTTGACAGGTGATCTGCAGTTATATCCGCTCCTTGTTAAGCATGATCCAAATCTGAGGCTATACAATTTCTATTACAAGACATATTCACTTCAGCCTTTTAAGAAAGTCACAGAAGTTTTGTCAGTTGCCAGTAAAAGCCAAAAGGCCTAAACCATGGGTCTTCCAACTTGCCTCTTTTTTGACTTGTGGACTTCAACTCCCAGAACTCCTCAGCCAGCATGCCTGGATGATGAATTCTGGGAGTTGAAGTCCACAAGTCATAAAAGGACCAAGTTTGAAGACCCCTGGCCTAAACTCATTCTACTTTGGAATGGTATGTTGCTGTTTAGGTTTAAATGGTAGTTTGCTAATATGTCATTACCTCTTGATCATATCACTTTTTTGATTTGGTCTCTGACAATAAATAAGGAACTAATGTAGTTCATTCTCTTAAATGAATGTGCGTTATTTAAAACGGGGAGATTTAAAAGTTGTAGGAATTGGACTGCTGTTGAAAAGATGCATTGTTAATATAATCTTTCAAAAGAAGGCATGGAATATTTAAAATAATAAACCCTGGCCTAAGACCTTTTGCTGCCTGAGGTGAAAGCAAATGTTTTTTTTACTTAGGGTGAAGTAAGCACTCAGAATTAACCACATGGGCTTTTGCCTGAGGCAAAAATCATGCAAATATCTGTCCTTTATTATGGCAACAAATACAAGAATTTTTAAATCAATGTGTTGTATGGGAGAAAGAAAACACTGTTGGCTGCTATTTTGAAGCATACATATGAAGAAAGTACCAAACTCAGCCCCTGGGCATCATGTTTGTTTGATGTGCTGTCTGAAGCAGCCTCTCCCAGATGTAGTGAATTAGACCTCTGGGATTTTAATGCAACATATCTGGAGGCACAAGGTTGGGGACATTTGTTGACAGTGAATTAGGATGAAGTCATCAGTATCCACTAACCTGAAAATAAGCCTCATTACCTTCAAGAGAACTATTGAGTAGGTACATTTAAGTTCATTATGCAGATGTCAATATTACTCATTTTATTAAATACATTTATATAGCTGCCCACTTCCCAAAAGAAAACTCTGTATGGCAAATAAAAAACAGAATACAGTAAAAAACACAATTTAAACAAAATTTTACTGAGGCCCCAATATACTGTAAACTTCATTCATTTTTAGTATCTAGGAATTTCTTTACTCAAAACGTATAATCTCTGCATTTCTAGTATTTAATACCACATTGTATTGTATTCTGACAGCTGTATTTAAAAGTGATAAAAGTTGAGTTTCTTCTCTAAACCTATCATGGTACGAAGCATACATTCCAATTAAGGTGGCTTAGTCCTTTAGCAAGGCATTGAACTACAGGTCTCATAATTCTCAATTAGCACAAGAGTTTGGCATGCTAGCTGGGAATTGTAGTCTGGGACACTGTGAAATTTAATGAGAAAGTCGCTATATATGTATATTCCATTCCCTGGCATATTCTGTCTTTTCACTTTCAAGAACCATACTAGCTCCTTCCCATCAAGTTTTATTCTTAAAAGCTGCTCTTCTTACCCCACAAATTTCTTTGTATCCCTTTACTTAACCTATCATTCCAATCCCCAGCACCTCTCATCTATCCCTGTTTGGCTTTCTTCAGAGCAGCTCATCTAATATTAATTTAATATTTAATAATACAGAAGCAGCAATTAAATAATTTGCAGAAAGTAACACAAGTTGAGGGAAGCCTTGCTTTTTCATATGCCATGGTAAAAATAGGATGGTATTTCCTGAAGATATGCCAATTTAGGACTACCTTGCATTCATTCCAGGAAAGTTCAAACACGAAAGTGACCATTTTGAACTGCCATTATTACTTAAGTGCCTTCAAAGAATGCCCATTATTTCAAAGGATGGGCATTCTTGTCTTTTTTTATAGCTGATGAAGTGTCTGATAACAGTAAAACATCTTCTGTATTAAGGGAAGGATAGAGTACTTCTGAGGTATGAGAACAGTTTGGAGTTAATTATTGGGTAAAATACAGGAAGAAAAGATAGAGGTTAGTTCTAATTGAAAATAAGTTTTAAAACAATAGCCAAGAATCACTTTTCTGGGAAAAGGTCATAAAACAATTATTCTTGAGAAGAGATATCACTTCATTACGGTTTTTATTTTTATTAAAACCGTGTTTTTTATACTCGGCCGCTATTCACTGAGTGCAATCCTTAAGCTCCACGTTGCATATAGCCTATGTTTTTCTACTCAATACCTTTAAAAATGAAACAACTAAAATAGATCCCATAATTACAAGAATTATCTAAGACTACTTCATCAAGAAGCTACCCATGGGGCTCTGAATTGGCACTTCTTCAGCAAAAGTGCTAGATGTATCAGGTAACCAAGAAAAGGAAGGAGAAAACAGCCAGACTGTATACCACCACTAACTTCATTTCCAAAAATGTCTATCCAGCGAAGCACCAATGCAGCCATTCATTTTGCTGATGCTGGTAATAAATGAGAAGGAACAGAACTACAGAATGTTAGTAAAACAATACATAGTATCGGTTTCTTGCAAATACATCGGTCCTCAGTTGCTGGTAGTCGTGCTACTGGGGATAATATAGAATATGTTCTTTTATAGGTATCACGAAGTTGACGAGGAAAAACCAGTAGCCCTCTGGCTGAAGCTCGCTCATCAGGGTGGAGGCGTTGGGAAAACGCCCGATCCGTTGAATCAAACATGGGTGGTTGCCCCAGAGCTCCAATTTTTAGCAATTTTAGAAAGCAAAATCAGACGAGAGCATGCCTCTGCACACACCCAACTAAAGAATTACGATCGGACTTCCCCTCCGCTCCAACAACTTGTGTGTACCTATTATAAATTATTAGATGACAATGGATTATATGCGAACGCGTCCACTTTGCCTTTATTCCGTATTTCTTCCTGCCTTCCATCAGCACCCACTCAACCAACTGAACCTGCGCACCTCAAACGTCGTATAGCAAACAGCCGGTTCAATTTCTCCGCCCTTCCAAAAAGGTCAATCCCGGTTTACTTCCTTCCGTTGCTTTGAACCCGAGTAGCCATTTTTAGTCAGGGCGCTCGGCTTCCCATTTCGATGCCTGTTGCAGCCACATTGCCCGAGAAGAAGCCGGCGGCTTCTGCCTTCGGTCCCTAAGACGACAATGGGAAAACGCAGCCATCTTTGGTACGGGCAAGGCGATGCCCATTTCCCAGAGGGGGACGCACCGCCCGTTCTGCCCTTCTTCGCGCGGTCTGGGATGGCGTCTAGCGTTCCGCGAAAGGACTACGGCAACGTCTGAGGAGGAGGAGGAGGTTTCTTTTTCCCACCTGGAAGGGGAAGCCGCTGTCAAGCGAAGCTAGGCGGCATGGTACCTCTCTGGCCGTTGGGGACCTTGTGGCTGGCTTATTTCGCAACCCGGGCTGTGGCGAGCGACGATGCTCCCTTGAAGTGCGAAGATCTGCGAATCGGCCAATATCCTGAAGTCGGGAGGATGCTAAGGGAACCCGGTCACCGTGGTGATGGGCTTTGCCGGGGGGAGGGGGAGGGAGGTCGAGGAAGGGGGCGGGGACGGCGCTCTATGTTCTAAAAGGGTCGCGCCAGGCATAATGAGCCGGGTGCTTGAGGAAGCTGCACCTGTTGAATTACACTAAATGGCAGGTGGTACTCCTAAGTCAGGGGTCCTCAACCTTGGCAACTTTAAGACTTGTGGACTTCAACTCCCAGAATTCCTCAGCCAGCAAAGCTGGCTGAGGAATTCTGGGAGTTGAAGTCCACAAGTCTTAAAGTTGCCAAGGTTGAGGACCCCTGTCCTAAGTGGAATACTGGTTATTGACTACAACCGAGGATTGATGGACCAAAGGCTTTATAGCAGCCGCCAACAGGCCTAGCGTGGAATGAATGTACCCACTTCCATCCCTTATGAGCGGAAAGAGACCTGGAGCAGAAATTTATGGCTGGGTTCATAATAAGTCAGGCTTTGCAACCCTTGGGGAGCTAAGGATTGCACTTAGCTACGTTCCTGTGGGTAATGGGGCCGGGACAAAATCTAAATTTAATTTACGTTCTCTTAATCCTTGCCGTGAAGAGGTACTACAGGTAGTCCTCAACTTACGATCACCGTTGAGCCCAGAATTTATGTTGCTAAGTGAGAAATGTGTTAAGTGCTTTTTGCCACATTTGTTAAGTGAATCACTGCAGTTAAATTGACAACACCCTTCTTAAGTGAATCTGCCTTCCCTGTTGACTTTGCTTTTCAGAAAGTCGCAAAAGATCATCACAGGGCCCCCGGGGACACTGCAACCGTCATAAATATGAACTGGTTGTCAAGCATCCGAATGTAAATCACGTGACCATGGGGATGCTATAACGGTCATAAGGGTGAAAAATGGTCATAAGTCACTTTTTTCAGTGCTGCTGTAACTTCAAACAGTCACTAAATGGATTGTTGTAAGTCGAGGAGTACCTTTATTGTATAGGTTGCTGAACCATGATTAATTGTATAATTGTATACAATGGTATAAGCCAAAATTGGTTAGCTTTTCATATAACTCCAAACCATAAGCCATGATTTACAAAGCACAGTGGATAAGTCCATACAACACTGTAAAGCCAAAGAAATAATTATAGTGTATTTATGCGAACCCATTATGTGTTACCTTGTTAAACCTATTGTTTAGTCTTGCCTAATATGGTGCCTTCCAGATGTGCTAGGAATAACCATACTGCTGTGACGGGAAATTCTGGTAGTTCTAGTTCCAGAGTATTGGAAGATTTCAGGCCAGAGAAGGCCATATTGTTGATTAAAATAGCGTCCCAACTTAAATATTGCTGTATCGCTTATTTTTCTGGATAAAAGAAGGAAATATGGCCACTTCAGCCTATACAGTTTTTGGTTAATTGAAAACAAATCTAGATCATGATACTAGTTTTAATCTTCTGCAGAAATTTGGGTTATGTTTGTTTTCCTTAGTTGTACAAACATATATATGCGAAGATCCTAAAATAGACAATGCAACCCAAGAGCCCATGAAATGTACTAACCACACTGCATATGGTAAGAGTTACTCAATATGTTTAATGTTGCATATTCCTTAATCAAATGCTTCCAGTGGATGGACTGTATACGTTTCCTCTTCTTAGATATCATAATTTGCTTTAAAAAAAAGTGGACATGGGGTGTTTCCCTGCAAAAATATTTGAAATGAATTAAGATTTGTGATGAGTTTATTCCAATTTATACTGCTGTCCAACTCATCTATGTGACTCTGGATGGCTTGCCAACAATTATTAATACAATAAAAGCAACAAAAATAATACAAATATTTTAAAACAAGAAAAAACAATATAAAGGCATATTAAAAGCATTCATATTGTTATGTTGGTTATTGCCAATAAATATTTCTTGGCCCCACATATATTTTAGACATGAATTAATATTACAGGTACAAAATAAATTTTGTTTTACTGTATGTTTAGTTTTTGAAGTTAATTTATTGCTCCTCTTTAAAAAAAATAAAATTAAATTTAACATCTGCTATACATTAGTTGTCTTGCTAAAAAGATATTTGCTTTATGTGTTCTATGTTTGAAATGTTTTGCTGATGTCCTATATATAATGCTGTGTTATTTTTATGTCTTTAGTTGCCTGTCTTCCAGCCCCAAATATTACTTGTAAAGATTTCAGTGGAAATGAAACTCAGTTTACTGGAAAGGAAATCGGTTTTTACCAGCCCATTGAGTGTCGAAGTGTGTAAGTAATAACTCTGTGTAATATGTAAGAATTCAATTGGTAGTGAGTGTTTGCTGTATTAATTATAAAACACTTACATATTTGTATATGTACCTAAGTTACTTTATTGTTTTGAAATGTGCTGCAGTACTTTCCTTTCAGTTCTGTTANTGTTAGATTGGAGGAGATTAGAGGAGAGATACCAGACCTGTCTTAATTAATACCTGTTTTATTTGATCATATACTGTAGCTATCATACTAGGGATGATACTTGGGATCAGAAAGGATCAAGTCCCAGGAGAGTGAAGATTATTATTACAATGCATTTTGAAATACTTTTTGCAATAATTCAAAGATATATGTCAGTGATGGCGAACCTTTTAGAGACCGAGTGCCCAAACTGCAACCCAAAACCCACTTATGCATCGTCGGGTGCCGGGTGGGCGTGGCCCATTGGGTGGCCGTGGCTGCAGTGGTAACAGCAGACTGGGTGGGACTAAAAAGTTCAATCAATCAATTCCAACTTTGCAAGATCTTTTTTTTCCCACGAGAAGTTGAAATTGACTGATTGATTGAACCTTTTTTGTGTGTGTGTACATGGCGGCAGAGGCCTAAAGGGAAAAGGTTTTATAAAACCCAGCTGAAGGCCTAGGACTGGGGCGACGGTGCGTGTGCCCACAGAGAGGGCTCTGAGTGCTGCCTCTGGCACCCGTGCCATAGGTTCGCCACAACTGATATATGTAATACTGTAATACAGTTGAATTAAAAAATATTGAGGTATGAAAAATCAATAAAAACACTCATTTGTTTTTACTTTGTTTTATAAAAATGGCTATCGTAAGTAAAACTGGCTTCACTAGGTTTGTGTTTTGTACAAGAAGAGCCAGATCTGAAATTGTAATTCAAGCTCTGAAATGTCGCATGAAATATTAACAGTCTAATAAATGGAGAAATAATTCACTCCTTTTTTGTATTATTGTTTGTAAAGTGTAGCTGGATTTTCATTTGCTTAAGCTTTGACAGTTTGAAAGTTCTAGCATCAAATAATTAATGGAGTGATGAAAAAGAACTCAACAACTAATTCAGGAATTTTTTGTCCTATTTCTATTTCTAGAAATGGTTACTCCTATAAAGTAGCAGTAGCTCTGTCTTTGTTTCTTGGCTGGTTGGGAGCAGATCGGTTTTATCTAGGATATCCTGCATTAGGTTAGTTCCTACTTTTAAATATTAGTCTAAATAAAAGTGAATGGTTCTGTATTAATTCATTTATATTCCATTTGTATTCCTAAGTGACAGTGGCTTATATAGATATCAAGCTGGAATATTAAGAGGTTGACATATTTTGCAAATACAGGTAGTCCTTGACTTATGATCGCAATTGAGCCTAAAATGTCTGTTGCTTAGCAAGACAGTTGTTAAAGTGAATTTAGCCCCATTTTATGTCCTTTCTTGTCACAATCATTCAGTGAATCACTGTAGTTATTAATATGGCTGTTAAGTGAATCTGGCTTGCCCATTGACTTTGCTTGTCAAAAGGTCGCAAAAGGTGAGGACACTGCCACCATCATAAATACATGCCAGTTGCCAAGCATCCGAGGTTCGATCACGTGACCATGGAGATGTTGCAATGGTCGTAAGTGTGAAAAAATGGACATCACTTTTTTCAGTGCTATTATAACTTTGAATGGTCATTAAATGAAATGTAAGCTGAGGACTCTTATATGAAATAGAGAACCTCCAAGAATGTTACATTTTTGTATTTCATCACACAATAAAAAAAGATGGGTTGGATAATTTATTCTAGATTTCCTTCTGAGTTGCACTTGAAAAATTAAAACATTGCCCAGTAAATATTGCCCGCCGCAGGGAGGAGGAACCGCTTAGATGGTTCCGCCCCAGGCGCCTGATGGACCCAGAGAGGTTCCAGACGGAGCTTGGGCCATATCCAGCGGACCTAGCTCACGATTCGGTTGAAAGGCAGGTGGCGGCCTGGGAAGAGGCCGCTGCCGCAGCATTGGACCGAGTCGTGCCTTTGCGGCCTCTGACCCGGCGCAGATCTCAATTGGCTCCCTGGTTTACCGAGGAGCTGAGAGAGATGAAGCGCCGGAAAAGACGCCTAGAGAGCAGTTGGAGGGTGAGTCGAACCGAATTCGATCGAACACAGGCAAGGATACAGGTTAGA